TGGAGAGCAGCCCCAGCAGCCCTGGCAGGGCATGCAGTTGGGCAGGGAGCTACTACAGGGTTGGGATCTTGCAGCAGTGAAAGTGTGGTTCAGAGCCAGGGCAGAGCTGCAATTTGCTGCTCACACACAACTATTGAGGCATTCTTGTGAAGAAGCCCCTAGCAAACTATTACTTAGGCTGGGCAGATGGGCAGGATAATGGTACTACTGTCTGAAGCCCTAACTGAGACTTAAGAGAACTTACAAACTTATTGGTAAACAAAAATAACTTTTTATTAAACACTAACTATTCAAACTCCTTTTCTACGCAGCTTCTTCCATTAACGTGTCCATGATCTGCCTCACCATGCCAACAGCCTCTATGCTGGCCATCATGTTCCTCTATCTGGAACACAGCTGAATGCTTCTCTTAGGAAGATCCTCCTTACCAAATCAGTACCCTGGAGTGCTACTCCTCAGCTGTAACAGCTCTTTTTTGAGGAAGCTACTAAATCTATCAGCATTCGTCCTTGCTGCTCTTTCTCCTCCTCCTTAAAAACAAGGAGAAAGAGATCTTTTCTCAGACTTGTGTCCTTGGGCACTCAAGAGCAGCTATAGTGAGATCAGCCATGGGTACAGGGAATTATGCTGGAATAACAGTAAATATAGATAAGGAATTTTTACACTGGTGTGACTTGGTAATAACTGATGAACTCCCAGAAGGGTTTGCATTTCATCTCAGGAGCTTCTTCACACTTTTAGGCTCTTCAAGATGCTAAATACCCCAATATTTATGCCCCTGCATGGACACTAATTTTTTTCTAGGCATGAAGAAAGACCTAGGGTGTGAGATCTACTTGGGATGGTTCCCTTTTCCCTTAGCTGTTGTGGAACATTTACCAGGAATTTGTGGGTAGTGGGCTCAAGAGAAGGGTGAATATCGTAGTCTGCCTCCAGAGGGTCCTAACAATATGCCTAGTTTTGCAGGCCATGTTTTTTTTTTTTTTTGGGAAATTTTTTTTTTTTTTTCAGGGTCCCTGCTTTTTTTTTTTTTTTCAGGGTCCCTGCTTTTTTTTTTTTTTTCAGGGTCCCTGCTTTTTTTTTTTTTTTCAGGGTCCCTGCTTTTTTTTTTTTTTTGGGACCACAACCCTTGTCTGTGTCCCAAGTGCCAGATGGAATCAGTTATCCATGGTATCTAATGGGCATCTTGCCATCTGTCCTGTCCAGCTACTGGAGATGGTCATACCAGATGACAGTTTTGCCTGATAGAGCTCTGTGGGTTATGGGTAGGGACCTACTAAAATCATGATTTTGTGTTTTTTTGGAAACTCTGATTTTTGGGCAGGCTCTGTTTTTAAAAAAAAAAAAAAAATGCAGGTACCCTGAAGAAAAAAAAAAAACTTACCAAAAATAAAATGCTGACTCCCTCTGGGAAGCCAGCAGCCCTTGTGGCCACTGCGGCCCAGCCATGCAGCCCAGCAGAAGGTGGGGTGCCACTGGCATGCTTAGATGGCTACCACTGCCACCCCTTGCAGCTGATTGACTGTGAAGGCTGCCCATCATATGGCCCTGCCCCTCTCCACCAATCAGCAGTGAGGGATGGGGCTACATGATGAACAGCCCACACAGCCAATCAGTAGCAAGGGGCAGGACTACCAGGGTGACTTGGCCAGTCAGAGACATGTGGGGTGGGGGGCGCTGCATTTAGCCAATGAAAATGGCTGCCAGCCAAGCAGTCTGCCCATGAAATTGGGTGGCAGTTGCCTTGAGTTTGCTAGGCCCCTAGTTATCGGGTCTCCTATAAGAGGCAGGGTTTGGCTTTCAGCATTTGAGAGGGTTTGCATGGTTACCTCCTAACTTCCTATGACTGCCTTGCCCCAGAAAACAGAACCACAGTATGGCATGTTATAGACTTTTCCTGCAAAAAGGCAGCCTTTAGTTCACTTTAAACTCTTCCCACTCACTCTGGACCTCTGTCCCAAGGAACCTTGGCACAGCCACTTCAAAGTCTTTCTTTTCCAAAACTTGCCATTCCTTCTGCTCTGAGAAAATCCCTGAGGTCCTGGCTTACGGGTGACCATATGAAGGTGTTTGTATCAGAATATGGGATGCTAATCCTACCTGAGACTATGCTGTTTGCTGCCGGATCTCTTGGAGACTCCCACATCCTGCCTGTAGGATGCCCAGCATAAGCTCTAGTTGACAAACGTTCCTCAGGGCATTTGATAGTGCACCAGTGAAGAATCAGTTACTGAATGGACTGACTGGTAGTGTCTGCTGTGCATCATGGAACTGTGCAAATCCATTGCCATTTTGCCTTTTTAAAGAGAGCTGCGATTATCATGAAGATTGGTCAGGAGGATGGGGGTGCCTTCTCTGCTATTTTTTCCCTTCAGTCTTCTCTGATTTATGCTGTGGTTAAAAACTTAGAAAGGCAAAAGCTTCAGGGGAGTCTGAAGTCTTTAGGGAGAAGGGGATTTATGAGGTTGCTTATGGATTCTTAAGCAAGCACTGCCTTTGGATGAAGAGGAAGTGAAAGCAAAGTGCCTTGCCCCTGCCATTGCCCCTCACTCGCCGCCCACATCTGATGCTCCTCACTTCCGACCCACAGGTCCCTGGCCCTGCTGGTGCCTCTCACTTGCCACCCACAGCCGTTCCCCATCCCTGCTGGTGTCTCTCATTTGCGCCCCAAAGGCCCCTGCCTCCCCCAAGTGCCAGGGCTATGGGGCCAGGGATTCAGGTCTGCAGCCCCCTGCCTCCCAGTAGCAGGCGCTAAGCCCTGGCTGCCACCCACAGGAAGTGGCTGCTGCAGTGGAGTGGAACGCAGAGACTAGCTCCCCCTGCCCCACGGGCAGCATGGCTAGAACAGAGCCTGTTGCGGGCATAAGGGGAAGCAGATTCAATGTGCTTGCTGTAGGCTTGGGCTCCCTACCCTGCCCCCAGGACCTCTGCAGCCCAGTGGGTGGGACCCAGCATTGCAGGGCAGAGTGGGGCCAGGTGGAGAAATTTGTTGCTGATGGGAGCTGCCCCTTGCCTGCCCCAGAGCAGTGAAGGGCATAATTCCACACTGCTGCCCCCTCTGCTGCGGGGCAGATAGGGGACACCTCACTGTGGCAGTGTGGGGGTCATGGCAGTGGCATCTGACTTCCCTGCCCTGTTGTGCTGGGTCCCATCCTCTGGGCCCTGGAGGCTGCGGAGGGAGGGCAACAGGGCAGGGAGCCTGAGCGCACAGTGGCCAGCCTGTGCCTACCCCTGCCCTGTGCACAAATCTGGGGGACACATGCTCCACATGCTCCCCCTGGGAGTGCGGGCAGCAGTAGGGAGCCTGCCCCCCTTTCCACCCTGCTCCCTGGATGAGCTGCCTGTGGCCCCAACCTGCTCCCTCTCCAGGGCCCTATGGCTGCACATTGCAGCCCCAAACTCCACACATGCCCTGGCTGGGCATCAGTCCTAGTCCTAGCCCTGCCCAACTCTTTTTCTCCTTCCCTCCCTCACCATGGGAGCCTCAATCCTACCCCCCACCCACCTCAGAGTTACCTCTGGGGAGCTGCTCTTCAGGCTGCCTGGCAGCCATGTGCATGTGTGTGTGCGCGCATGCACATGGCATCCCCTGCCTGGCTACCCTTAGCCTGATCCCCTAGCCTCTTGCAGGCTGGATCTCTGCCAGCCTGCAATGGCAAACCCACCATATCCCGTGTTTTATCTCCTTTTAAGGAGAAAATCTGGGTTTTTCTCCTCAAAATGAAAAAAATATGGGTTTTACTGTGTTTTCTGTGGCGAACGGAAAACCTGGATCCCTGCTGTTGAGGTTGGGTTATAAATTGTGTTTTGGTATCCTGTGGAGGTGGAAGTGAAAACCTCACAGAGTGCTGGGATGTGCTATTTAATAGTCTCTCAAACATGACAGTGGCAAGAAAGGTAGGAGACTTGTCCTACAATTATTTTTGTGCTTTTCAGATTTTGTCAAGTGCCTGGATTGAACTTGGCCTGTCTTTTTTTTTTTAAGTTCTGATTTTTATTCTTTTCTAATTCTGCTCCCTTTAGCAAGGTACAATAGACTCTTACTCTTCTATTGCAGTGACATGATAAGGGCAACAATATCTTAGCAGCAACCTTTCCCTGGGAAAATCTTTTTTTGGACCCAGAGTTGTTAGACATGCCTCTAGATGCACAATACTTTTGAACCATCTCACTGCAACATAACTACAGCAGTCCTCTATCATCTTTTAGTCAGTTAAGATAAAAAGAGAAGCAGGTAGATCCATAAAGCCTGTAATATACCAGAAGTATTATAGCTGCTTGTAGACGTGGGGAGGGGGGAGGAACTCCCAAAGCTTTACTTTAAACTCGGCACACTCCCACATCAAGCCCTGTACATGCCCAGAAGAGGCAGCATGTTAGTTACACCTGGCTTTCCCAGCATCTGTAGGGATCAGGAGTTTGCTTTAGTGGGGCTTTTTTGGCTTTTTTTATCTAATAGCCAGTTGAATTGGCTTTAGCTAAAAGCACCAAAAAGCACTGCTGAAGCATCCAAGTCAAAGTAACACGCTGCTGCTTCCAGTGAAGAACATTTTGTTTTTGTTTGTTTTCACATCTTTTAGCGCCTTTTGTCAACGAACAGGATTCTGTATACATGTAAACACTGATATGGGTCACAGTGAGTTTCATTAGGTGTTAAGCTACAATGACCAATTGATACAAAGAACAAAGGGTCAAATCATTACATTTTGGCTTGGTTTGAAATACCTGCAAACGTGAGTTATGCTTGATTAAGGGTAAGTTGAAACAAAGTGAGGGCATCAAATTTAATGCTTTGCAACTCAACTAATATTTACAAGCAGTTTTTGTAAAGCATTTCATTTTTTAGAATTATCCTGGGATAATAGGATGAGATTATTGTGGTTATGTACTTCCTGTCTCCAGTGGGAAATGAATATCAAATTTCAACAACATGAGATGTAGTTTATCTGATAATTAAGCAGAAGGCATTTGGTGCTAAATTTTGTTGCTTTTGTGGCTTTCAGATTTTTTTTGTTGCATGGTGAAGGGCACTTCTGACTCAGAAGTTTAATTCAATTGCAGATTTTAAGGTAGGAGAAACTTTTTTCCCCCCCTCTCTGTATTTTATCTATTATAGAAAATAAATGATTTCTTTAACCAGAACTGAGGGGGGGGGTGGAGGGCAAGTACTATTTTACATGTTAATTTCTATGGTAATTTTTGATAACGAGAAGAGGTAGAATACTGCGGGGGGAGAGGGGCTCTTTTTCTGAATCAGTTTATAGTTCTAACCTAACAATTTGCAGTTGAAAAACTGCATAATGTTTCTTTTCCCCTTATTAATGTAGGAGCCTTACCTGTCTTTTTTTAGTTTATAGATAAATATAACAAAAGTAAAATAGCATACTATTTACATGCACACTTCTATGTTTATATGTTTTGATAAACCTAAGATCAAACTAAATTATAGTCAAGAAGTGGACGTTTCCGTTATAGGCTGCACCTGAACTACTTGTTGAATGTTCTCTGAAATCTGGATATAGCTATAGCTATATTTAAAAAAAGCTTGAGCTGATAGATCATTATAAAATACTTCATTTTATATGTGTGTATGCATGTATACTATGGATATGTCTTAACAACTTTAGTTACAGTTGTGTTTTAAAAGTGGTTTAAATTATGGCATACATTCTTGGGGTTGTTTCCCATACAATAGGCAGTAAGCTGATGTGAAATTTTATACGGGTTTACTTTTGTGCCACCAAGGGGCATAATTTTTTTTATGTAATTGTTGTTTAACACCATAGTAACTTTTTGTATTTGGGCTCTGGCTAAGAGTTTATCTTTGTAGGCCTACATGTGCTGACTGGCTCTCAAAAAACCCGTATCTGTTAACATGGAATTTGCTGGGGGGAATATGTTGAATACAAGTAATGCAATGTGTAGATATATTTTTTGGGGAAAATATATAGAACAGTAGAAAGATTCATCAGCCCCTAACCATTATTGATGCCTGCTGCTGGACTGTCTCCAATTTGTCTACATCCTTTCTGTAGTGGGGGAGCCCAAAACTGGACACAGCACTCCATATGTGGCCTCACCCTGCTGATTGGTTGGGAAGAGTTGCTTCCCTCAATCTGCTGGCAACTATCCTACTAATGCAGCCCAGTATGCCTTTAGTTTTTTTGGCAACAAGGGCACACTGCTGGCTCATATTCATCTTGCCTGTCCACTGTAACCCCCAGGTCCTTTTCTGCAGAGCTGTCAGTCCCCAGGTGGTACTGCTGCGTGGGATTGTTCTGTCCTACATGTAGGACTTTGCAGTTGTCCTTATTAAACCTCATGAGATTTCTTTTGGTCCAGTCCTTCAAGTTGTTGAGGTCTCTCTGATTCCTGGCCCAGCTCTCCAATGTATCTTCTAGTCTCCCTAGCTTGATGTCATCTGGAAACTTCCTGAGAATGCAGTCCATCCCATTTTTTAGATTGTTGGTAAAAATATTGAACAGGACAGGTCCCTGGACTGACCCCTTGGCTATTCCACTTGATAACTGGCTGCCAACTAGACATCAAGACATTAAGCCTGATGATCCAGCCAGTTTTCTGTCCACTTTACAGACCATTCATTCAACCCATATTTCCTTAGTTTGCTTGTGAGAATGTTGTGGGAGACTGTATCCAAAGCTTTGGTAAAGCCAAGGTGTATCATGTCCACAGCTCTCCCCACACTCACAGAGCCAGACATGTCATGGAAGGCTATTGGGTTGATCAGGCATGACTTTTATTATTGATGAATCCATGCTAACTGTTCCTAATCATCACCTTCTCCTCAAATTTCTTAGAAATGCATTCCTTGAGAACCTGCTCTATGATTTTTCCAGAGGCTGAGGTGAGGCTGACAGTTCTGTGGTTCCCTGGATCCTCCTCCTTCCCTTTCTTAAAGATAGGCAATATATTTGTCCTTTTCCAGTCATCCAGGACCTCTCTCAATTCCTATGAGTTTTCAGAGATAATGGACAGTGCCTCTTTAATCACATCATCCAACTTCCACAGCCCCGTTGGGTGTGTCATGTCCTGCCCCATGGGCTTCTGCATGTCCAGTTTTTCTAGGTAGTCCCTAACCTGTTCTTTCACCACTGTAAGCTGCTCACCTCCTCCCCAAACTGTGCTGCCAGGTGCAGTAGTCTGGGACCTGACCTTGCCTGTGAAGACTGAAGTAAAAAAGCTGTTGAGTACTTTTTCACACCATCTTTCTGATTGCCTCTCCCATTCAGTAAGGGACCCACACTTTCCCTGATCTTCCTCTTGTTACTGACATACTTGTAGAAACCCTTCTTGTTACCCTTCACATCCCTTGCTAGCTGCAACTCCAATTGCACTTTAGCCTTTCTGATTTTATCCCTGCATGCCCAAGCCATACTCTTATACTCCTTTCTTGTTGTTTGCCCAAGTTTCTACTTGTAAGCGTCCTTTTTGTGTCTTAGCTCACTGAAGAGATCCCTGATAAGCCAAGCTGGTCTTCTGCCATACTTGCTAATCTTCCTGTGCATTAGGATTTCATAGATATTAGGGGCTGGAAGGGACCTCAGGAGGTCATCGGGTCCAGCCCTCCTCCCATAGGAGGGAAGTCAGCTGGGATCAAGTAACCCCAGCAAGAAATAAATCCAGCTGTTTTTTGAAGGAATCCAGAGTACGTGCTTGTACCACTGCTGAGGGGAGTTTGTTCCAGACCCTGGACACATGTGCTGTAAAGAACTTTTTTTTAATATCCAGTCTAAATCGGCCTTCCTAGAGTTTATGGCTATTAGACCTTGTTATCCCTTGGGGAGCTCTGGTGAACAGATGTTCTCCCAGGTCCTAGTGTACCCTTCTTATGAAGTTGTAGGCTGCCAGCAAGTCCACCCTGAGCCTTATCTTCTCTAGACTGAACAGTCCCAAGTCCCACAGCTTCCCCACCAGGCCTTGGATCATACGAGTGGCTCTGCTCTGGACTCTCAAGCTTCTCCACATCCTTCCTGAAGTGGGGGGCCCAATACTGGATGCAGTACTCCAGCTGCGGTCTCACTATGGCCAAGTGAAGTAGAAGGATGACTTCCCTGGTTTTGCTTGAGATGCATCGGTGGATGCACACCAGAGTTTGATTAGCTTTGCCTGCCACCGCATCATGCTGGTGGCTCATTCATCTTGTGGTCAATCAAGACCCCCAAGTCCCTTTTAGTCATGGTGCTAGCAAGCATAGCACTGCCAAGCCTTTAAGTATGCTGAAGGTGCTTCCTACTGAGGTGCAGCACCTTGCACTTCTCTGTGTTAAAGGTCATCCGGTTTTGGTTGGCCCATCTTGAGAGTGTGTCCATATTGGCCTGTATCCCCAGCCTGTCCTGTGGTGTGATGGCACTCCCCCGTAATTTGGTATCATCTGCGAACTTGGCGAGTTCACATCTGACTCCTGAATCTAGATCGTTGATGAAAATGTTAAAGGGTACTAGCCTGAGTACTGAGCCCTGAGGGACTCCACTGGTAACACTGCACCACGTTGATTTGCTCCGTTCAACTAGTACTTTTTGGGTCTGACCCTGTAGCCAGTTGCCTAACCATCGGACTGTATGATGATCTAGGCCACAGTTCCCCAGCTTAACTGTGAGGACATCATGGGCAACTAGGTCAAAGGCCTTCTTGAAGTCCAGATAAATGATGTCCACATCATCTGCCTTGTCCAGGGCATGTGTTAGCTGGTCATAGAAGGAGATGAGGTTGGTCAGACAAGACCTGACAGTCACAAAGCCATGTTGGCTGGCATTCAGAAGCTTGCTTTCTGTTTAGTTTGGCATTGATGGATCCCTTGACAATTTTCTCCAGGATTTTTCCAGGGACGGACATCAGACTGATTGGTCTGTAGTTCCCTGGGTCATCCCTCCTCCCTTTCTTGTAGATAGGGGTGGTACCACGTTGGCTTTTTTCCAATCATTTGGGACCGTGCCCAAGTGCCATGATTTTTCAAATATCCCTGCCAGGGGGGATGCAATGATGTTTGGCAGCTCTTTCAAGACCCTGGGTGCATTCCATCTGGGCCCACGGACTTGTGACTGTTCAGTTTCTCAAGGTGTTCCCTCACCTGATACACATCAATTTGGGGCCTGTCACCCGCTCCCAGATTGGTTTGTGCCATTCCTGGCTGTGTGATCTTTGTAGGAGAGTGAAAATTTGATGCAAAAAAGTCATTTAGCAGATTGACCTTCCTTGGGTATCTGATAGTTTCATACTTAGTAGGGTCGGAAGGGACCTGAGCAGATCATCAAGTATGACCCCCTGCCGTGTCAGGAAAGAGTACTGGGGTCAAACGACCCCAGCAAGGTGATTGTCAAGCCTTGTCTTTAAAGACCTCCCGGGTAGGAGCCAGCACCACTTCACTTAGAAGTTGGTTCCAGATCCTAGCTGCCCTGACAGTGAAGTAGCACCTCCTGATGTTTAGCCTGAATCTACCCTCTGTCAGCTTGTGACTGTTATTTCTAGTCATGCCTGGTAGTGCTCAGGGGAACAGGGACACCCCAATGCCTGCTGGTCCCTCTGACTAGTTTGTAACAGGCCACTAGATTCCCCCCTCAGCCTTCTCTTGTGGAGGCTGAACAGGTTCAGGTCCTGTAGCCTCTCCTCATAGGGCCTGCCCTGCTTCTCCCTGATCATGCAAGTGGCCCTCCTCTGGACCCTCTCCATGTTGTCCACATCCCTCTGGAAGTGCAGCACCCAGAACTGGATGCAATACTCCAGCTGCAGCCTGACCAGTGTTGCATAGAGGGGGAGGATCACCTCCTTGGACCTGCTCGAGATGCATCTGTGGATGCATGACAAGATGCGGTTGGCCTTCCTGACTCTGTCCCCACACTGCCAGCCCATGTTTATCTTGGCATCAGTGATGACTCCAAGATCCTTTTCTGCCTCTGCACTGATAAGAAGGGCGTTCCCCAGCCTGTAAGTATGGTGCTGGTTCTTTCTCCCCAGGTGCAGCACCTTGCACTTGTCAGTGTTGAATCCCGTCCTATTCTCATCCGCCCACCCCTCTAACCTGCTTGGGTCCGATTTGTAGCCTATTCCTTCC